AGGATAAACACAGGTGTGTTTAGTTTCAACATGGCCGTATTTAAATAAGTCAGGACGGTGGCTGAGCTGTATATTCGAACACGGCCGTGTTTTACGTAATACGATCGTGTTCGATCCCACTCAACTACCAAATCAGCGTTTGTAACAGCCACGTCAGCACAGTCCGTTAAAATGAACGGTTGGATTAAAAATGATATGTTTTGTTTTGTATGAAACTAATTTTTATAAATATTTTTGAATGTGATCAAAAATGAAAAATTTTGGTTTGAATAGGATTAGAAATGATTTTTGCTCTTAAAAATAATTAAAATAGAATTATTTTTTACTAAAAAAAATTAAAACACACTTATTTTTATAACAAAAAGTAAAAGAAAAATAAGCAATTTTTTTTTATGACAAATAATTATACTCTGTGTAGTGCCTAATAAAGAGTATTACTGTCTTTGTTCCAAGATGGATGATTTTATTTTCTTTTTTTAGTCCCGCCGTAAACACTTGTTTATATTTTTAATAAAGTTATTTATCTTATATATAATTAATAAATATAAATTAATTTAATTAAATTCTTAATATCTTTCATGTACGATCACTCAAAACTCTTTTATTTTTATTTTTTTTCTCAACAAATAAATATTTTTATTTATATTTAAAATTTTTCATATTTTATATGACTAGTTTAAGTTAATTATATAAAATTTTACTAGCGTTTGAACTCGTGCTATGTACGGGTGTATACATAATTAAAATATTTAAAAAATAATAAATGAAGTATAAATGATAAATATTTTAAATAATGTTACAATATACATGTATGTTTAAAGGTTAGTTTTTATTTGAGAAAATTTTAAATAATTAACTATATTTATTATTAAAACTTATTTTTTACATTTAATTTTAATTTAGCAGAATAATAAATAACTATTTATTTTAATTTTATATTGTAGATATTGAAATAAATAAACTATCAATTTAAAATATATAAAATTATTAGTAGATAATCATATAAGATTGATTCAAAATTGTAAAAATTGCAAAATATATCAAATAATTATATCTATTATGAATGTTATATCTCTATTTCTATATATATTTCACAAATAACAAACTACATTTTATAAAATATAACATAAAATAGAATTATTTCAAATTATTGAAATAAAAGAACAAAAATAAAAAAATACAAATACAAATTTAATTTCAATTGAATCTATCATTAAAATTTATATTCAATTAATAAATATATAAATTTAATTTTAAATAATATATAATTAATTTATGTCAAATAAAATATTTGAATGATAAAAATAAATAAAGTATAATTAAGAAAATAAGAAAAATAAATAAAATAAAACAATCTTTATCAACTAAGTCGGAATAAGAGAGCACTCATCTTGGGGTGGGCTTACTACTTAGATGCTTTCAGCAGTTATCCGCTCCGCACTTGGCTACTCACCTATTTTCGCAATAATAGCTTGGATCACGCCGGGATTAACCGCATAAATATTGTTTATATTTTTTATTTAAAATAAAAAAGTAATTTATACTACCTCCGTCCCACAGTAGGTGTATTGATCACTGTAGACAAGATAATTTATGATAAGTATAATTAGTAGATAATTAAGAATGTATTAATAAAAATAGTTAACCTATAATATAAATAATTATACATTAAAATTAAGATAATTAATTGGTTTAATTAAAATTAAAAAATAAATAAATTAGAAAATTTAAAATAAGATTAAGATGGGTAATTATTTTTCAAAAAATGAAAATGACATTAGATGTGGAACAGACATAAACAACAATATGGACATGGTAAGTGGGACGAAGGGAGTATTAAATAAATAAAAAAATTAATATTTAGAAAATAATTAATATTATTTCATATGTTTATATATTTGTATTTTTATATAAATTTTTGTTTATCAATTTTAAAATTTATAATGATTAGTCATAATTAATACTAAAAATAAAATAAATAAATTTAATTTTAATTATAATTTTTAAAATTTGTAGAAATCAAAATATACCAAAAATAAAAAATAAAATAAAAATTAAAAAATTACATAAAACAATATTATATTATTCAATATCTTTATATAACATAACAAAATAAAAAATAAAATAAAATTTATATAGAAAAAATATAAAATATAATTATATTATTTAATAAAATATCTGCAAAATTTTATACTTATATAATATAATTATATAGAAAATAAATGAGGTAACATAACATATAAATTATGATAAAATGAGGTAACATATAAATGAATATTATATGTTACCTCATTTTTTCTTCAATAAATTATGATTTATCTGCAAAACAAATAAAATATAAAATATCTACCAAATATATTAAAAATATTAATAGATATTATATGTTTACCTTTTTCTTTTTAACATCGTAGTTTATTTGCAAAATAAATAGAAAAATATCTACAAAATATATCAAATGAATATTATGTGTTACTTTTTTTTCTTTTTCAATAGATCGTGATTTGTTGCAAAACAACTAAAATAGAAAATATCTACCTTTGGGTGTGTTTGTTTGGGAGTTTGGATTTTGAGTTGGGATTTGAATAGTAAAATTTTGAATTTGAATAGTTATATGATATGATATAAATAGGTGTTGATGTGATGTTTTGAATGTAAAATTGATTTTTAGTATAATATAAAAAATAAAAAATAGGTGTTTAATTTGGTATTTTTTAGGGGAAAAAATAGGATGAATAGTGTATTTAAAATCCAATCCCCTATATTAAAAATATTAATAGATATTATGTGTTTACCTTCTTTATTCTTTACATCGTAATTTATCGCAAATATACTAAAAAAAAATTTACCCTAAAAATAAAAGCAATTCTTTCAAAATAAATATAGTATGGGTAGAAGGGAGAGTCACCAAATCCTTGCCGAGCTTTTGTCGGACTTTCAACACACTTTTCCGAAATCTAACGCCGGAGGCTAATCGCCGATATTCTAATTTTGCTAAATTATTGAGAGAATACATATGTGCATTCGTATTACCCATATTTTTTCAAAGTATGATACACACTGAATTAAAAAAATAAATTAAGAAACTACACCACTGTCCCATTATTTCAAAAAAAATAAAAATTGTAATTGAATAACTGATATATATATATTTTGAAAAAAATCCATTAAAAAAATTTTAGAAACCCAAAAAAAATGAGAAGCCGGGAATCTGAGGGATGGGGTCCACACCCGTTATTATATAGGATTATCTACAAAATGATATTCATATTGTATATATTTTATTTAAATCTAATACTCCCTCCGTCCCATAAAGAAGTATCCATTTGCTTTTTGCACGTAGTTTTAGAAATATTAGTATTATATTGGAATATAGTAGGAATAAAGTAGAAATGACTAAAATAACCTTATTAGTATGTGTGATATAAAAGTAATGACATTTGAGTAATATATTGTAAGTTGTAAGGGTATTTGTAATGTTAAATAGACAGTACAATTATTTAAAAAGGAAATGAATACTTTGTTATGAGACGAATTAAAATGAAAAAAAAAAAATATTTTGTTATGGTACGGAGAGAGTATACTAAAAATATATAAATACATATTCTAAATTTCTTTTAATCATATTTAAAAAAATATCAACAATTATATAAAAATTAATAAAATATTCTCATAAGTTATTATTAATAATTTATTAATTTATAAGTATTATCTTAATAACTGTGTTAGGAGCAAATACTTTCTTGGTCCTAGATTACTCATTCTTTTTTAGGTTCCATAAAAGATGATAAATTGTTATTTTTAGTAAGATTATTCATCTTACATATACTCGTTCTCTCTCTTTTTTTTTTTTTGATAAAAAATAAATAAATATAAATTAATTTAATTGAATTTTGTCATTCCTTACGGATAAAAACCCATTTATTTTTATCTCTTTTCAATAAACAAATATTTATATATATATATTTAAAACTAGTCATTTTTTTTAAAATTGGTTTTTAAGTTAATTACGAATAAATAAATATTTACTTATTTGTATTATATAAATTTTATTATTTATAAAATAATAACTATATATTTTATTGAAATATAATGCTAAAAATATTTAAAATACTAGCAATATTACTTTCCTAACCAAAGGGTCATCTGACCTGTAGTAGGGAATAGATAATTTGTTCCGGAGACAAAAATAATACTTTTTTTATCCTAATTAATTTGTCAATTATTTTTATTTTTGTTCATCTTACATATTTTGTATTTTTTTTTAAAAAAAAATATAATTATGTACTTTAATTAAATTTTTTAATTATTTTAATTTATAATTATTTTTATTAAATCATAATTATTTTTACTAATATTAATTTATAATTATTTTTACTAATATTTTTAAATTATTTATTAATTATTTAATACCTAACCCTTTGTTTCTATCCTATAGTGAACAATTTAAATTAAAAAAAATAAAAAAATAATAGTAATAAATAATACTGCAAGGTTGGTAGATCACGGCTAAAAATAGCATATAGTAGATAAAGTAGGTAAAGAGATGATGGTACAATGAATGGACTGCAGTTAGTTTGTCTTCTGCCTATTTAATGTTTTTATATTCATACAATTATTTACTTACTCAAATAATAAAATAAAATAAAATAAAATAAAATAATACTCCATATTGGAAGGGATAGGTTACCCACCAGTTTGTCTTCCCATTCTCATCCTCTCACTGCTTATCCTATCCTCTCTTTCAATTCTCTAATAAAATAAATCATCTAATAATTATTTATTTATATATTATAAAGAATCCATTTTTGGAAAAAATTATTAAATAAATATATGAACAGAAAGTTCCAAATTCCTTCACCATCTCACATCACATGATTCATCATTCATCACCCTTTATAAAAAGTTACTATACATGACGATCCCATTTTTTTTTATTTTTTTATTTCTAATTTTAATTTTTAAATGGATTGCTAGAAATGTTGAGTAATGTGTAGAGGAGCTTGTATATATTTCTGATTAAATAATTTTGCTTTAATTGTTATTACACATTATATAAAAGAAAAAATTATAATTTAAAAAAAAAAAAAAAAAGACTGAAGCTTGATCCCAGAATCGCCGGCGCCGGCGCCGGCGAAGACTCCGGCTCCGGCCGATCACTTCATCTCCAAAGTTCTGTAATCCAAAACCCCGGTTTTGAGCCCCAGAAAATCATACCCGGAATTGCCTCTTCTGCCACTCCCATGGCGGCGGCCGGCGGCGGCGGCGCCGCCGCCGCAGCTGCAATCCTTGCTGTTCTGAATCCCGAGCCTGCAAGCGAAGCACGAATTTCCACCGTCCGATCTTCCACGTGCCTCAAACCTATCATCATCATCATCTTCTTCGTCTTCGTCTTCTTCGCCGCCGTCGCCGCCGTGGTGGTTCGGAAGGCTGATTCTGAGCTCTAGATTCAAATCAGGACACCGCTGATCGCCGCCGGCGTCGCTCCGATCGTCTTTACCCCCAAATTTCGCATCCATCTCCTTCGAATTGGCGCCGGAGAACGAAATCGTTGAAGCTTTCAGAGTTTCCGGCGGCTCATTGATCGGACGGTGAGTCGTCGGATCGATTCCCCGGCTCAACAATTTCCGGCGGATGTGCGTATTCCAGTAATTCTTAATCTCATTATCCGTCCTCCCCGGCAGCCTTCCCGCAATCAACGACCACCTGCAAAATCAAAATTCAAAATTCAAAATCAAAATTAGGGTTTCCAAAACCCTAAATCAAAAAATTGGGGATTTGAGGGTATCCATACTTATTGCCGAGGAGACTGTGGAGTTTGATAATGACCTCATCTTCCTCCTCCGTGAAGTTGCCGCGCTTGAGGTCAGGGCGGAGGTAATTGATCCAGCGGAGGCGGCAGCTCTTGCCGCAGCGGAGGAGTCCGGCGGCCTTAGGCAGCGACCGCCAGCAGCCTTCGCCGTGGGCGCGGATGTAGGCGACGAGGCGGTCGTCTTCTTCCTTGGTCCATGCGCCTTTGTTTGTGTGAGCTTTTTCACAACAAGGAGACCTTCCCATTACACCTTTAATTACACTCGCCCTTGCCCTTTTTTTCTTACACACTCACATAATAATATATATACATACATATATATATATGATATTTGACTCGGATATATATAATATTATTATATTATATATGTAAATGTGTGTGTGTGGGGGTGGGGGGGGGGGGGGGGGGGTGAGTTGGTGGGAGAGTGGAAATTGAATCAATTATGATAAAAGCCCCAATATTTATACCACAAGAATGGGACATATATATATATATATATGTATATATATGAGAGAGAGGGGAGAGAGAGAGAGAGAGGGTATTAAGGATAATAGGTATCATATTCATTAGTCTTAATTGATATACCACTGCAGTTACGATGCTGATTAAGTCAATTACTATCTTACGTTGAAAATCAATAATATTCTTTTTCTGCATCATATATTTTAACGTACCTTATCTTATTTTATTATTATTTTTTTTAAAAAAAAATTATATATTTTAATTATATTTCAAAAAAAAAAATTTTAATTTTTTTCAATTTTAGTAGAAGTCATATGTTAATATAACACAAATATATTAAATAAATGTGTTTGTTTGGGGGATTGGATTTTCAATCCACTATTCATCTCATTTTTTTCCTTCAAAAATATCAAATCAAACACTTATTTTTCATTTTTATATTACACTAAAAATCAATTTTACATTCAAAACATCACATCAACACCTAAAACAATCGCACCCTAATAGTACTTTCCGTCCAACTCAACCATTTTATTATGTCTCACTAAATAGTATTTATTTTTTATTTTAATAAAAGTAATAATACATTAATATAAAAATACAAAAATATTCTTAACTTTTACTTAAACCACAAACATACTATTATATATATATAATTACTTTGTACATAAAGTCAAAGGACAAAAATATCAAAATTTCTTACACATTTTCACTAATTAATACTCTATTTGTCTCACTTACCGTGTCTATTTTTTCATTTTCATATGTCAACTTATTTTGTTATTTTCCTTTTTTGGAAAAAAATGATATAGTTTAATCACATATTAATTTTTTTAATTTTAATTAGATTAATTGATTATATTAATCTTAATTCAAAATTATTTTGATTATACTATAATTATTTTCACAAATATATTATTAATTATTTATTAATTATATTTCTTCTAAATTATCGTATCTAAAGAGAGTATTAAGGATAATAGGTATCATATTCATTAGTCTTAAATGATATATGACTGCAGTTAGAATGCTGATTAAGTCAATTACTATATTACGTTGAAAATTAATAATATTTTTTCTCTGTCTCATGTCTTTTAAGGTTTCACATATTATGTTATTATTATTCTTTTTTTGAAAAAATTACATCCTTTAATTATATTTTTAAAAATTTAAATTTATTTTTTTCAATTTTAGTATAAGTCATACGTTAATATAATACAAATATTATTAAATAAACTAGTGTGTTTATTTGGGGGATTGGATTTAATTTCTACTATTCATCCCCTTTTTTTTTTTTTTCAAAAAATCAAATCAAACACCTATTTTTTATTTTCTATATTATATTAAAAATCAATTTTACATTTAAAACATCACATCAACACCTATTTATATCACATCATACAACTATTTAAATTCAAAATTTTTACTATTCAAATCCCAACTCAAAATCCAATCCCCCAAACAAACACACCCTTGAGTACTCTCCATCCAACTCATAATACTCATTTTACCATTTAGTCTGTCTCACTAAATAATATTTATTTTTTATCTTAATAAAATTAATAATAAATTAATACAAAAATATCCTTAATTTTTACTTAAACCACAAATATACTATTATATAGTATATAATTACTTTGTACATAAAGTCAAATGACAAAAATATCAAATTTCTTATACACTTTCACTAATTAATACTCTCTTTGTCCTACTTAACGTGTCGATTTTTTCATTTTCGTTTGTCTCACTTATTTTTTTATTTTCCTTTTTTAAAAGAATTATATAGTTTTTTAATCACATATTAAATTTTTTAATTTTAATTAAACTAATGGATTATATTAATTTTAATTCGATAATTATTTTCACTAATACATTCTTAATTATTTACTAAATATATTGTTCTTAAATCTCGTGTCTAGAGAGAGAGTATTAAGGATAATAGGTATCATATTTATTAGTCTTAATTGATATATGACAACAGTTAGGATACTAATTAAATCAATTACTATATTATGTTGAAAATCAATAATATTCTTTTTCTGACTCAAGTTTTTTAGCATCTCACATCTTATGTTATTATTATTTTTTTTTTGAAAAAATTACATACTTTAATTATATTTAAAAAATTTAAATTTAAAAATTTCAATTTTAAGTAATTTAATAATTATTTTAATTTTAATTTATAACTATTTATATTATATTATAATTATTTTTATTAACATTTACTACTTATGTCACTACTTAATTCCTGTACCTGCAGTGTTAGTAAAGGTGAGACGAATGAAATATTATTTTTTATATTATATTATTATATGCTATTAAAATATGTGGTACATATCGTATTTTATACTCGATATATGTGTTATAGAGTGAACAATATGCAAACCAGAGTGTATTTTATAGATAGATTTATCTTTTATAATCATTTCAACAATATAAAAAATAATATTTTATATTAATTTTATTTATATGAGTAGATAGAGTATATATTATATATATTATGTTAATTTGTATATATATATTTCGGTAATATTTACGCAGAATTGTGTTAATAAAAATTGATTGGACAAAGACACCCACAATAATAGTCTATATCGGATACGTTATGATTAATATTAGTATAAGTAATACGTTAATATAACACAAATATATTAAATTAACTAATATTATTTTTCGTTTCAACTCAAAGTACTTATCTTATCATTCTAGTATGTCTCAGTAAATAGTATTTATTTTTTATTTTAATAAAAATAATCATACATTAATACAAATTTACTTTTAACTTTTACTTAAATTACAAACATATAATTATTTTGTACATAAAATCAAAGAGCAAAAATATCAAAACTTTTTATATATTTTCACTAATTAATAAAATATTACTCACTCCGTCCACAAACTAATATTTTATTTTCTAATTTAGGACATCCAATAACTATTGTTCTATTTTCTTTTTTAAAACACAAATTTTACTTTTTTACCCTTCATTTATTTATCACTTTTAATCTCTACCTTATCATTAAGGATAAATTTGTCAATTTATACAAAAAAGACAATTATCTAAAAAATCGTACAAATATACTTTAGAATAATTATAAATGAACGGAGGAAATATTATTTTTAAATTTACTATGAAACTCTAAACAAGTACATTCGGATGAGACAAATAAAATATATAATAATAGTAATTAATAAAACACACACCACATGTTTTAATTTTAGTCATAAGTGTATTGTTTATTATAGCTATATAATCATCTTTTATCATCTTTTATACTTTCTCCGATTCATATCTATATATCCATTTATTTTTTCACGAAATTTTAAAAATATTAATATTATATTGTGATAAAGTAGAAATAAAGGTAAAAGACTAAATTAACCCTATTAGTATTGTATGATATAAAAGTAATGACATTTGTGTAATATATTATAAATTGGAAGGTATTTGTAATGTTAGGTACATAGTATAATTACTGAAAAATGAAATGAATATTTTGTTATGAGACGACCAAAATGAAAAAAATTGATAAATTATTGAAGGACTGAAGGAGTATAAGAGTACTAAATGAAGTATATTATTTGGGTGTGTTTTTTTTATTTTTTTTCTTTTATCAAATTTTCTCAAATTTTTATTATTCATAAAAAAAAAATTAAAAATTAAATCAAATATTTTTTATTTTTTATATTATATTATAAATTAATTTTATAAAGTATTACATTAATATCTATTTATATCACATTAACTATTTTAATTCAAAATTTTTACTATTCAAATATCTAATCAAAAAGTATTTTGTCCAATTTTTATTATATATAAAAGGAAATTAAAAAAATATCAAATGAAATATTTATTTTTTTATTTTCTATATTATACTAAAAGTTAAATTTATATTCAAAATATCATATCAATACTTATTTGCATCACAGTATAAAATTATTTTAATTCAAAATTTTTACTATTTAAATCTCTAATAAAAAAAAAGTATTTTATTGGTGATTTTTATTTATTTGTTTAAATTATAGTTTGAACATGTTCAATTAGATGAAATAATTCATTGAATATATATATATATATATTGCATAATAAATATATTTTAAAAAAAATAGAAAGAAAAAAAAAAGAATAACGAGTATAAAAAATTATATAATTAATATTAAAATAATAAATACGTGTAATATATTACTCCATCCGTCATTCAAATCTATGTTCACTTTTCTTTTTGAGTTGTCATTGAAAAAATTCTCATTTTCTTTTTAAGTAAAAAATTATTACATTTTTGTACTATAGAAAGAGAAAGTAACCATTATTATTTACTTTTATTAAAATTCGTGTCCGATCAAATGAGCACATATTTGGACGACGAAGAAAATAATACTTTTTCTAAAAAAAAATTATTGAAATTTTTTGTCAAAAAGAATAGACTTTTAAAGTAAGCAGAGCCGCAAAGTTTATTTGATTTATTTTAGGTACTTATCCCTTATATATGTAATTAAAACTAATATTGAGATTAAATTAGAATTATTCTTAGTATAGGATTAGTACTATTTAAAGAACGAGACACATGTAGTTTTTTTAGAGCTCCTTGAGGTCAAATTAGAATTATCCTAAAGATATGTTTAACTTTTATTTGTTATTATTATTATTTTTAATAAAAATATAAACAAATTAAATAGATAGAATTTTACATTTTTCATTACAAACATAAAAGGTTCTCCAAATGTTCATGGGGGTACTTCTTTTTAAGGTTGATTTTGATTAAATATTAATTTGAATATAATATTATGTAAGAAGAAATAATATTCTTTACTTGAATAATCGTATTTAGTACTCCCTTCGTCTCAGATACCGTATCTGCTACACTGTAGACACGGTATTTTAGGAGGGGTGTAATTAGTAGATAATTAAGAATATATTA